GCCCGTTGCTGGTGTTGCTGCACCCGTTGCTGGTGCTGTTGTGCCTGCTGCTGGTGCTGTTGTACCTGTTGCTGGTGCTGCTATACCTGTTGTTGGTGCTGCTGTACCTCCACCTTGTATTATTTCTACTACACTACTACTTGGCTGCTGTGATTGGTCATTAACTAAAAAAGGTTCTAAGACTCGGTTCAACACAGCGGACGGCAGGTGGTGGCGCAACACCGGAAACACGTGGGTTTGACACACACACACACACACACACACACACACACACACACAGATATATGACATCAATTATTACTGTACACACATACATACATACATATGGTATGTGTTAAGAGTTTAAAAGTTACTTAGGGTATGTATGTATGTATGTATGTTTGGTATAGACTACAGGATACTGGGTATCCTGTGTGAGTGTGTTACATGACCACGGGAGCTACACACACACACACACACACACAGGATGTAGTTTTAAGTGTTGAAAAGTTACTTAGGATGTAAATTTGTGACTTAATACGCCCTAAGTGGCATAGAACATGTGTACAGTACAGCACTTGTGGCGTGAGACAGATTACGTCCACTGTGTGTGTGCGTGTGTGATACAGAAACTTACATCTCTCACTCCACGTTACACAACCTACTGTATGTGTGTACTGTAGTGTTACTGATGTATTATGATAGCGTTAAAAGAATTAATTTTTACATTATTATTATACAGTCGACATATAATCTGGCGCTACATAAACTGGTCCACATTTAATCAGGTCAACGGCTACAAAAACCATCTGTCAGTAAAAATTTAATCACAATGAAAACTGAAATAAAATGTGGATATTGATTGGAACGGCCTTACTGATCCAAGCTCTCCCTCGTTGTGGATAGTGGTAGGTAAGTGACAGGTAGTGGTAGGTGGTGTCTGGTGGAGGCGATTTCTCTTAAGCTTGTGTGTAAGGGAGAGCGAGATGCAACACACACACACACACACACACACACACACACACACACACACTCACTCCTCACACTCTCTCTCTCTCTCTCTCTCTCTCTCAGGGAATGTAATGAATAATTAATAACCTAGGCTCCAGGTAATTAGGGTAGGTAGGCCTAGTGTGACACCTGTTCTGATGGGCCTGCAGTTTTCTGACATCTAACACTGTTGTAGGTTGGGTGCGCGATATGGGCCTAGGATGGTATATAGTAGGCCTATATGGTAACAGATGGGGGGGGGAGGAGGGGTTATGTCCTAGAGGGGAAGTAAGGGGAGGGTTCTGGTCATGTCCTATAGAGGTGGGGTCATGTGTCCTGGAGAAGGTGGGGTCATGTCCTGGAGAGGGGGGGGGGCAGGGGAGAACAATACATGCCCTCACCTTAGACCTGTCACAGCCGGGGGGGTGGTGGTGGATGGGGGGGTTAGGTGTAAGGGTGTGGTTGTTAGCAGAGAGGGAGGGCAATACTCACTGGTTTGCTATACATGTGAGGGGAAGAGAGAGAAACAGTGGTTCTATATAAATGGGGGGTGGGAGTGGCTGCGAGGTGTGTGTGTGTGGGGGGAATCAGTAGTCCATAACTGGCAGGTGAGGGGGGTGAGATAATGGTAAGTAGGAAAGATCTGCATCATAAGTACTGAGAGGAGGAGGGGGGGGGGGCGGTGCACTGGTTCATATAAATGTGTTTTGTCAAGTTTAAGATGATAGTACATTTGTTTGATTGTCTGCCCGTCCGTCTTGTCTGTCTGCCCGTCCGCCCGCCCGCCTGTCTGCCCGTCCGTCCGTCCGTCCGTCCTCTCCATAGAAAGTTTCCATTCATCACCCTGTACTGTCCACGTGATAACTCGAGTTGCATTGGGTAGTTCTTGACCAGAGTTGACCTGTGGGTGACACGCCATCGTTGCCTTGTGCCTATTGAGTGTGGGGGTCATGGAGGTAATTGTGGTTGACCCTTGATGGTGGTGGAGGTAATTGTAGTTGACCCTTGATAGTGGGGGAGGTAATTGTGGTTGACCCTTGATAGTGGTGGGGGTAAGTGCAATTGGTTCGTGATGTTGGTAGTAATTATTGAATTTGAATTGAATTGAAACAGTTTATTTAGCCAGAAAAACCACAGATACTCGTGGTGGTGTTGGTAATTGTGGTTGACCCGTGGTGGTAGTGGTAGCAGCAATTGTGGTTGTGTGGTGGTATGTTGATTATGTGGGTATCACCGACCTTGTGTTCCCGGATGCACACGCCGGGATGAAAGCTGGTGGAGATGCCCCGTAAACCCCCCCCCACCCCTCCCCCACCCCCACTTCTCCCCATTTCCCAACCCCCCTCCCTTCCCTCCACCCCTCCCTCCTCCTCCTCCTCCCTCCTCCCCCACCCCTCCCCCACCCTCCCTCCCCACTGGCTGGCACTTTCCTACCTTCCACCCCAGCCCCTCCCTTGTCTCTCCTATCTCGTACCTCTCTCCCATGTGTGTTTGGGGAGGCACAGCAACACCTTACCTTAACACAGGACTCGTAATCCCTATGTTGCTATACAGGTGTTTGAAGTATTAATTAAGGTTACAGGTGTTTGAAGTATTAATTAAGGTTACAGGTGTTTGAAGTATTTATTAAGGGTACAGGTGTTTGAAGTATTTATTAAGGGTACAGGTGTTTGAAGGGTGGAGACTTGTGGGAATTAAATTAGGTCAGGTATTTACTTATATTTAATAGGATAGGTATTTACTGATGCATTGAAACATTGTAACTGCCGAGAGAGAGAGAGAGGAGGGGGGGGTTGGGTTGTGGGGGCGGGGCAGTAAGGAGGTTGATGGGGTTGCCCCGCGGGGTCAAGAGGTCGGGGCGGGGCGGGATGGACATTAAGGTGGTAGTTGGTTTGTCCGTGTTAGTGGTAAGCAGTGTGTTCCTTTTTTCTTCCTTCTCGCTCTTCTTCTCCCTCTCTCCCTTCCTCCTCTCTTCCTTCCTTCCTCCTCTCCCTTCATTCCTTCCTTCCTCTCCCTTCCTTCCTTCCTCCTCCTCCCTTCCTTCCTTCCTCCTCTCCCTTCATTCCTTCCTTCCTCCTCTCTCCCTTCCTTCCTCCTCTCTCCCTTCCTTCCTCCTCTCTCCCTTCCTTCCTCCTCTCTCCCTTCCTTCCTCCTCTCTCCCTTCCTTCCTTCCTCTTCTCTCCCTTCCTTACCTCCCTCCTCCTCTCTCCCTTCCCTCTTCCTTCCTTCCTTCCTCCTCCTCTCCTTCTCCTTCCTTCCTCCTCTCCTCCCCTTCCTTTATGTTGGAGTCGCGTTTCTTAACTTAACCTAATGTTATATTTGTTTGTTTTTTATCCTATTCTGGCAGAGCAACCCTCATCGACTATGCATTATTTGTGTATATACGTATATTGTTATATATATATATATAAGTAGTGTGGCTGGCATCTATAGCACTCATCCGCCGGGAGGTTAAGTGTTTGTTTGTTTGGCTTTAATAAGTGTTTGTTTTACCTTTGTGTATATTTACCTGGCTGTTGGGGGTTCGACTTCACTCCACCTGGTTTATATTATAGGATCGTGACTACCCGGATATCTCTCTCTCTCTCTCTCTCTCTCTCTCTCTCTCTAAAGCTGGAGCAGGTAGTTAGCTTCATTAGCTTTCTGAACCTGTCCTGCTGTTGACTTACTGGCAGCAGCAGGAACAGCATTAGGGGGAGGCGGCACAGAAGTAGGAGGCACAGCAGCAGCAGGAGGCACAGCAGCAGCAGGAGGCACAGCAGCAGCAGGAGGCACAGCAGCAGCAGGAGGCACAGCAGCAGTAGGAGGCACAGCAGCAGCAGGGCAGTCTTGGGAAAGTTGGACACTCCAGCTCTTCAACTTTCGCTGGGTCACCTGGCGCCACTCTCGCCCCCGACCCCGTGGTCAGGGGGACGGATGTAGCAGGGGTGATTCGGTAGGGGGGGAGGGTCAGGGTGGTTTAATACTGGTGGTGATTGTGGTGGCGGGTGGTTTAATAGTGGTGGTGAGTGTGGTAGCGAACGATGGTGGTAGTGGTGGTGGTGGGTGTCTCGTACTCAAAAGGTATATCTGTGACCATGGTGAGGCCATTATATTCTCTCTCTCTCTCTCTCTCTCTCTCTCTGTCTCAGTCTAGCAACTGTAGCGTGAGGGAGAGAGAAAGTGTAAGGGGGGTTGAATGGAGCGGTACAGGATGGAACAGGGGTGTAAAGGGGGAGGAATGACAACTTAATGGAAGGTCTCTCTCTCTCTCTCTCTCATATGCGTGACAGGTAGGCAAATTCTTGAACGTCACTCAAGGCCGAGGTAACAAGGTAGTTATTGTTGAGGGAGAGAAAGTGTTGGGAGGTGGGAAGGAAGGAGGGAGTGAAGGAAGGAAGGAAGGAAGGTGTTGGTGGTCACTGATACGTAAGGGGCGGCGGAGATAGGAACAGGAAGGTAGTGGATGGTGGTGGTCGTGTGGTCCTAGTGAGTGAGGTGAGGTCGTTGTGTGTGGGTCGTCACGGGGAGAAGGGGAGGTAAGGAGGAAGGAAGGAGTTAATGGGTCGTATTGCCACCCCAATATCCTGCTTGGGGAGAGAGTGTGTGGGAGGGGGAGGAAGAGAGGGAAGTTAGTGTTGGCCTAGTTGTAGGTATGGTAAACATTATCTCACTACCACCATCACATACCACCACCTGCTACCATCACTCCCACGGGCTTCCTGGTATGGTTTTCTCATTACTGGTTTTGATTGGTTAAACCAGTCTCTCTCTCTCTCTCTCTCTCTCTCTCTCTCTCTCTCTCATTAGTGACAGTAGAGTGTGTGAGGAGTAACTTGGTGACTGACTTATGACTCGCCAGCCCTCCCAGTGACTCTCAGGTTACACACGCCAACTACAGCCACCACACCTGCAGTTGTGCCACCCGGCCTTGTGTGTCTGTCAGAGATATAGTGTATCAGTCATTGAATGGTACTGTACTGTGTGTGTATATAGTAAGTGTTGTATACTGTGTGGTGTTGTATAACTAAAGTTGTTGTGTTGTGTTGCAGACTGTGTTGCGTGCCCGGTGGGATGGCCGCGACGTGGACCACAAGGCAGTGGGCGGTCACCTGCCCCTTACCAAGAGGAACTCCACACCAGTCGGAGCCTCCCTGGCCGCCCCGTCAGCCCACGTTCAACTCCTACACGCCCACGCCAAGGCGACTTTGACGCCCATCGAGCCACCCAACATGCACCGTCGACTGGACCGTTCACACTCTGAGCCCGTGAAGGGCGGAGAGGGACGCCAGGCCAACTCATCCCGCTACAAGACGGAGCTCTGCCGACCCTTCGAGGAGAACGGCTTCTGCAAGTACGGTGACAAGTGCCAGTTTGCGCACGGCCACGCTGAGCTGCGCACCCTCTCCCGCCACCCCAAGTACAAGACGGAGCTCTGCCGCACCTTCCACACCATCGGCTTCTGCCCCTACGGTCCCCGCTGTCACTTCATCCATAACGCCGAGGAGAGACGAGGGAACTCAGCTGGCCCTTCCTCTCACCCGCCACTCTCACCTAAGACGTCCCTCAGTGCGGGTCACCCTGCACTCTCTCGGCCACAGATGCTACAGATGGGTGTGGCACCGCTGGGGTCTACTGCTGAGTCTCCTTCACCACCTGCCTCACTCCACGGCTCACCCACCTCCTCCGGTGGATCCTTCTTTGATGACGCCTTCACCCTCTTCCCTGGTGGGTGTGGTCTAGCCGGCGCCAAGGGCTTCCTGGACGGCCTCTCTGTAGGGTTGGGGTCTAGTGGAATGAGCGGAGGCCCCGGGTCTCCTGGCGGGTCATCTTGTGGAGGCCGCGCCCTCAGTGACCTGGACCTGGTCCGGGAGGGAACCCTTCTCTCTCTGGCCGGGCTGGACACTCCGCCCGTCAGTCCCGTCGAGTCCCTGGCAGGAGATCTGGACTCCCTCTCCCTCTCGTCCTCCCACTCCGCCTCTCCCACTCCCGCCACGAGCGCCCTCGACATCTCGCGCTCACTCCGTCTTCCCATCTTCGAGCAGCTGTGTGAGCAAGACTAGACAGTCACCGCTGGCCCTGTGGTCGTTATAGCTCAACTATGGTGGCGGCCACGGGCAGGTCTTGTGGGCGACTGTGTCATGCTGGTGTTCAAGTGGCTCCAGGTGGCCTCTTGACACACTCACCCACGGTTCCCAAGCCCAGGGGCCCCCAGGGATCTGGGCCTAGTCTATTTAAACCGTGGTGAGGTCCTGCACACTGGCCACCGTCAGCCACCCTGGCAGCGAGTAGTAGAGGAAGGTAGCCAAGGCGTGGTGAAGTGACACAGCCGCCCACCGCCCATACCTTGTACAGCGTGGAGTATGTAATGCCCTGAACCCCGCCCCCACCTGCCCACCTCCACCCATGTATTGCTTGTGATATTGGGGTGCCTTTGTGGCGCCCACTACCTTAGAGTTTATTAAGGGCGGGTGTGGCAGGGGGTGGGGGGAGGCGCACCCTCCAACACAGCTCTTGTACAGAACAAAGTACCATTTGAGTATCTTTTTTTTTGTAATTACGAAGGAACTGCTTGTATTTATGTAATTTATTTATTTGAGTGAGGTAGAAAAGAAGTAATTTATGTTTGTACTATACTAAACTACCACTATACCTAGATGCCATATAACAGTTGGTGTTATTATTCAGTTTGCCGCCTCTCATATAATCACCCGATACAGTGAGCGTCGTTAATCCGACACGTCCACTTGTCCGGCCAAAGTAGATCACTCGCAAACTATATATATATATATATATATATATATATATATATATATATATATATATATATATATATATATATATATATATATATATATATATATATATATGTATACATATCTATATATCCAGTTTTATATAAATGTCTATTAACTTATGTGTACCGACTCTATGGTGATGCTTGTAATGGTTGGAGTCCTCGAGGTGCTGCCGGCCGCTGTTGGTGCCGGTCGGATTAACTACGGACCACTGAACCTGTTGCCAACTGTGCTTGTTAAGTCGACCCACACTACCCGCCCGCCCGCCCTCTTGAGTGGCTCTTCACACCCCCGTTGACCCAACCCCATTCTGCTTAGATAATATGACATGCCCAGTTGGCCGGGTCACGTGTGTGTGTGTGGGGAGGGCGAGCGAGGAGTGTGGACAGCTCGGCAGTCACTCACCTAGGAAGCAGCGCTAACTTAACACCCACCAACCAAAGACGGATTTGGTTCCGCCAATGAGAAGAGAGATTGCCTTCATTATTTTTAGTTTTATTTTATGTGAACGAATAGCTATCGGCTTTGAGTTAGAACCGATGCTTTATAATTTCTTAATTAAAAAAAAGTAGCTAAAGTACAGTTACAACTATTCAGTATATTATATAAATATAGTATATAATTTTTTTTTATTTAAAGTATTTTGTTTTTAATTTGTGTGCCAGAGCGGTGTGTACCTAATATAGTTGTGAGGGTAACGATACGGTCTGTCCTCCACACACACAAGACGGCTCTGAGGTCAAGTATTTTCCCACAGTACAGTAGATGGTCTTGTTAAATCTGTCGTGTGTATTACCAGAGATAATATACCTCACTGCTCAATGATTGGCCCGAGAGTCTGCTAATTATTTAATGCTCTAACACTTTTATTATTACTATTACACACCTGAGGTATTGATGTACCTGTTTGTTTTCTTCTTTTTTTTAATAATGACTCACTCACCAGGGCGGTTCTCTCTATATCTATCATTCAATCTATATCACTATCCCCTGGGGGTGTAAGAGAAATCCTTGCATGTTGTCTTGTGGAGGAGACGTAGATGGGTGGGTGGCAGACAGACCGACCGTCATAGACCACACGGCTAAAGGCACCTCTTTTTTTTTTGTCAATTTAGGGGACCGTAAGAAAACCAGGTTGAGAAAGGTCACAACAGCCGAGTAGGTATCCAAAGTGCTTTAGTTTATTCCATTTGTCGTGTACAATGAATGCTCTTTAGTATTTTATTTTTGTATAGTTAATTTAAACAAAAAATACATGATTATTATTTTATTTGTGTGTTGACCTCACTCTTCCTTCTATGATATAAAAGACACTTGCGACGGGAGTGTTGCATGGCCCCTCTTGGTATTATTGTAACTTTCAGAAAAAAATACCCTAAAATATTCCCCAAATACCTTAGAATATCCTCAAAATACCTTAAAATATCCCCAAATACCCTAAAATATTACCCAAATACCCTCAACATTTTGTCTTTTTTTAATATCTTTAAAAAAATGCCAAACTATTTTTTTTTTAATCACTAACCTTAAAAAATTCCAGCTTATTATTATTATTATTATTTGTATAGAGAATTACGAGGGGGATAATGGCCGCCATAGAAGATAAATTCACCATATATAACAGTGGATTGTATGTGTCTTAATGAATAGTTTACCTGTGTGTGTGAATCACCTGATGAGTTAAAAGATACGAGGAATAGTTTTTGGATTGGCAGTTAATAATTTATATCTGTTAATATTAAAGACTTATTAACAGAAAACTGTAATAATGTTGTTAAGTTACCTGTAGTATATGCCGCGGAGTGGATTGATGACGTGTGTGGCCAGAGAGGTTTGTAATATTTATAAACGACTGGTCATCATCCCTACAAGGTGTACGTACCTCTTAACTCTCCTCCCTCACTAGCATTATTTATATTCTAGCTTCTCTTATTTACTTTTCAAGTGCTTTCAAAAGTCTATAAAAAAGTATTATTATTAAGTTTATATTTTATATATTATACAAATTATAGAAAAAAAAATGGTCACGTGGAAAACTTCTTCCCTGTCAATGGGACGCGACAAGTATGGCTGTGAGGGACCTGTCTGTTACAGGCTGTGAGGGACCTGTCTGTTACAGGCTGTGAGGGACCTGTCTGTTACAGGCTGTGAGGGGCCTGTCTGTTACAGGCTGTGAAGGACCTGTCTTGTTACAGGCTGTGAGGGACCTGTCTGTTACAGGCTGTGAGGGACCTGTCCACCTGCCTCAGCCATTACAGAATAACATTTCAAAACCTGACCTGAGTTACCGTGTACATTACAGAGAGAGAGAGAGGGAGAGTTACAGCTATCTACCATCTCCTTTTATTATGTGTAAAACAAAAGAATGTCCATTAAGTTTATATATCAGGAGGTCTCAACATCAATGCCCCCTCCCTTCTCCTCCTCTCATTTTCTTCCTTACTCCTAAAATAATAATAATGTCTATATTTCTAGTTATTTATATTAACAATTTTCACTTTTATTTGCTCTTTGAAGACAATATGTATTTTATTTTTTAAAACCACTTTCAAGAGATACTTTCTGTTGTAAAGGAATATTTATTATTTAATTTGTACTATAGTTTTTTTTTTAATGACCTCGAGTCACCTGTCAACACCTGTCGTTCACCCCACCAGTAGTTCCCACCACCACGACAGATGTGTGTACGCAGCTGTAATAAGCAGAAGATGGGGTTATCTCCAATAGATTATATTAAAACTATTTACTGTAATGCTGCTTTTACCTGCAGTATAAATAAAAAAAAATATTATTATTAATTATTACACGTATTATATGTACCAGAAGAAAACATTAAAAAACTTTTCTAATTTTCTAATGAATATATTATAGTTTTTGTTTTCTGTCCTATGGTGAGTGGTTGTCATGGTGATGGGCTGTGTTTACATGTGGGTGGTAAGATATAAGAATGGTGAAAGTATAAGGGAAAGGCGACAATAGAGGTGATAAGAATGGTGGAAGTATAAGGGAAAGACGACAATAGAGGTGATAAGAAGAAACAGCTGATGAGAATAAACAAAAGAATGATAATGAACAAAGTTGATAAGAATAATCAGAGCTGATAAAAATATGGATACAAATAAGAATGAAGATAAGAATGATGGTAAGAAACAGAGATGAAGAATGATCAAGTAAGGAACAAGAATAAACACAAAGATGACAAAGAAGAAAAATAAAAACATGATTAGAATGATGAATGAGAATAACCAATAATGTTGATGACAAAGAAAACAAGTAAACAAACAAGAGAATGGAAACAGCAAAATAATATTAATAAAAGCAACAAAGTTAAATAATTAAATAAAGATGTCTCAAAAGAAGTAATTAACAGTAAACAAACAATTTAAAGATGAATTATATATAAAAGAAAATATAAGAAACTGAAGAGATGAAAATAACCCAAATAAAGATGAAAACAATGAATTAATAAAATTGTAAACAACCAAGTAAAGGTAAATATATGGACAGGTAAAGTACAGACAGGTGAGGTAAAGAAGTCTGACAGGTAAGGTAGAGAGAGAGTCAGACAGGTGAGGCGGAACAGGTGTGACTAAGGCTGTCCTTGGAGTCTCGTCTAGTGTTGTGTAGCCCTCATGTAACACTCCACTACACACTGTTACATATGTATACCTCCATCTGTATGTGTGTGTACCTCCACCTGTGTGTATGTTTATTTCATGTGTGTGGGTGTGTATACCTCCACCTGTATGAATGCTTATACATCATGTGTGTGTATATCCCCACCTGTGTGTATGCTTAAATATCGTGTGTGTGTGTGTGGATACTTCGTGTGTGTTTACTCCTTGTGTGTATATATACTTAATGTGTTTGTATATCTGTGTACAATATACTCCATGTATGTTCAGAATTAAGAGGGAAAATAAGGAGTCTGCAATAGCCCGGTTGGTCTGTGCATGGCAGCTCCTGTCGAGAGTTACTACCACACTCTATCATCCATGAATCTATCCAGCCTCCTTTTGAAACTTTCCAGTGGAAGGGGGAGGGGTAGGGGTAGGTCAAGACTGTGGAGGGGGGGGCAGGGGTAGGTCAAGACTATGGAGGGGGGGCAGGGGTAGGTCAAGACTATGGAGGGGGGCAGGGGTAGGTCAAGACTGTGGAGGGGGGGCAGGGGTAGGTCAAGACTATGGAGGGGGGAGGTTGTAAGAAATGGCACTGGAGTTTAGATGATGATAATAATGATGATGATGATGTGTGTATACCCCGTATGTGTGTTTATGTATATTTAAACATATATAATCTATGTTTATATGTATATTTATAAAAGATACATTTAATACGTGTTACTGGACCTGATTAAGATATTTTGAAGAACAAGAAGAACGTGAATTTGTTCTGGTATAAAATACAATAATATATATATATAACATTTTAAAGTAACATTTTCAGTAATTTTCGAATGTTTAGTCTAGAATGTTTGATAGTGTTTACACCTACTATATGAACATTTAAGTCTTGTGGTCATAAAAATAAAGGAAAAAGAAAAATAAAGAAAATACAAATAAATATAAAATTAAATAAAAAAGTAAAAATTCAAATTAAAAGCTGAAATAATACAAGGAAATACAACATTAAAATAACCAGTAAAAACAGATAAATAAATAAAATGATAAATGGGGAAAGAAAGAAATAAGAGAATACAGAATAAATTGAATGAACTAATGAAAGCAAAGTAATAACACGGGCGAGGCAGGTGTGTGTGTGTTACTTGGATACACAGGTAATGGGTGTCGTCTGGCCAGGTGTGTGTGAGTAGGATCACCTGAGTTTGGCAGGGTGACGATTCTTCAGGTGGAGCAGGCTGGGGTGACGATTCTTCAGGTGGAGCAGGCTGGGGTGACGATTCTTCAGGTGGAGCAGGCTGGGGTGACGATTCTTCAGGTGGAGCAGGCTGGGGTGACGATTCTTCAGGTGGAGCAGGCTGGGGTGACGATTCTTCAGGTGGAACAGGCTGGGGTGACGATTCTTCAGGTGGAGCAGGCTGGGGTGACGATTCTTCAAGTGGGATTTCTGGGGTGACGATTCTTCAGGTGGAGCAGGCTGGGGTGACGATTCTTCAGGTGGAGCATTTTGGGGTGACGATTCTTCAGGTGGACATTCTGGGGTGACGATTCTTCAGGTGGTCCTTTAAATATAATAAATATCTTGATAAAATTAATAACAATTGCATTTAAACCACAAAATAAATTTACATAAGAAATTAAAAAAAAATCAATATTACTTTAACTTACAATTACTTAGATAAATTAAAAAAACAAAACTACATTACGTTTTTACTTACACAATACTTAACAAATAATAAAGACGTTAATAACTTTACTTAAAATACTTAAGTTAACAAAATATATAAATCACGGTTATATTATTTACTTAAAATTTAATACTATTTTAACTCAGAAATTATACTTATTTCTGAGGAAGATTTACTACGTGTTAATTGGTAAATAAAAAGAATTGTTGACTTGAAAATAAAAGATAATATGGAAAGAATTTAAAGAGAGTTATCTTATTTTGTCACATTTTATTTATCTTTATTTATTTCTCTCTATCTGCTTATCTTTCTATATCAATATATCTATTTTTATAAGTCTATCTCTTTATCTTTCTTTAATTCTCTCTCTCTCTCTCTCTCTCTCTCTCTCTCTCTCTCTCTCTCTCTCTCTCAAAAGACTGTGGGTCACGTGAACATTAACCACTCTGACACCAATTGGAACGATGAGGTCAGGTCAGGTCAGGTCAGGTCGTTAGTTTGGGTTGGGTTAGGAGAGGTTAACTTAGGTTAGGATGGATTTGGTTGGGGTAGGTTAGGTTAAGTTAGGTTAGGTTAAGTTAGGTTAGGATAATTATAATTTAAATATGTATTATTAAATTATTTTTGACAAGTTATACAACATGTGAATTATAGTAAGAAATATGTATGTAAATATTTAATGATGATATAAATGATAAATAAATTATAGGGAAGATATTAATATAATTCAGACATAAAATATTTGAAAAAAAAATTTATTATCTGCGGTGGCCGGCTGGGTGGAGGTGGCTGGCTCCCTGACCGACTGTACCTCCTCCTTCCTCTCCCTTCCCCCTTCTCCCTTCTCCCTCTCCCTCCCTCACTCTCCCTCCCTCACTCTCTCCCTCCCTCCTTACACTCGCCCTAACATATATTATTTTTTGTACTCGTGGTGTTAACAGACTGTGGAAGATGTCCGTAAA